TACACAAGTAACAAACAGAAGCAACAATAATCTCCACAATTAAGGCCAAATTAAATATCATTTTTTGGTAAAAGAACATCAGGATTCTCATCAAAGCATAACTCATAATATCAACACACAATATATAAAGACACAGTGTACAAGAGCAAAGGCCTCCAAAACGACTATCTTCATATAATACACCCCAAATACTTTTCAGCAGCAGATAACAATAAAACATGCATAAGCACAGCATTGTTCATCTTGGTTCCACAAATGTCATTATACACACAGAAGAAGATCAAAAAGCATATTCAACCACACTCCCTATCAACTTATCAAGCAATACATAAGCAGAAATTAAAATAACAAGAAGAAAGATCATTCATCAAATGTACAGAGTAATTACTATCCTCATCAAGTACGTCCACAGTTTCAATACAAAAACATAGACATTTCGTGTATCTGATTAACAGATGCACTAGTGGAAGGCATACCATGAGACAGCTTCTTCTTCAAACTAATGAGACATTATATGTGTTGCAAAGCTGCAGCAATGCAGCTTGATTAGATTGCTCAACAAATTGACCAATGACTGGGGTATACATTCCAGGGGAAGCACCACAAAGATTAGCCAAAGACCCAACCAAAAATTGCTTTGGATCCTTAATTTCCTTGAGAGGATCATCCTCTTTTTTCCCAACATTGTAAAGATGGACAAAGGTAGCATTATAGCCCGTAGTCTCACCAAAATCAGGAATATCAGGTTCATCATCCACTCTATCCTCCTCAGGTCGTGAAAGAAGTGTCACAATGCTGTCCAGCAGTTTACCCCAAGTCTTAGAATCCAAATTATCTGGAGATTGACAGATAAGTTTGGTTGAAGCAACTGAAGTGAGCTTTAGCTCAAGGGAACCTGTGATCAGCTTGAGGTTTGGTACCCAGAACTGCTCCAAAATTGTACGAAATATGTCTGGCTGAACTGCATTTATTGTATCCGCAAGGGTTTGAGAACCATATTTGACCAGAAAAAGAGACATAAATATTATCAGATTCTTAACAAACTTCACTGTTTTGCTGGAACTCAACCTGTTAAACAGTATAACCCAAATCTGCTGTACAAACGGAAAGATTACGTCATATGCAACATTCTCAATCACTGTATTCAGCACATAAAATCCTTGATCATCGGTGCTAGGAGATGAAACAAGTCTGGAGAATATCCCAAGCACACTTTCCAATCTTTCCTTCTGAATCATCTCAAGAGGTGACTTTCGAAGGAAAGCCTGGAGCAAACGAACAAGAGCTGGAACATTTGCTGACTTCTTCCATGACTCAGGTAAAAGAAGGATCTTGAATATCTCAACATAATTATCAGGCACGAGTGTTAACTCCACAAGCTGAGCCAACAGCTGGAATGCATAAGGAAAAAATTCATTGATGTCTCTGGCCAAGATGAATTGAAGGCAAGGGAAAAGGCTGGCTTCAAATGCAGAAATGAGAGAAGGGTCCTTCTCGGAAGCCCGTCTAATAAGAACAGCCACAGATTCAAAAAGATAGTGGTTAAACACAGGATTCTTGGGGTTTTCGCAGACCCTATTGAGAACTGTTGTCAGCCCATTGATGCAAGGTAAAGCAACCTCACGAGAGATTTCAGCAACTCCAAGAACTCGCATGATACACTTCATAACATACTGATTCTCCTCAGATTCTGGCTTCTGCAAGGCACTAAAAACATTTGTCATCAAGACCAACAAAAATGGACTGATATCTGAGGATGTGTACCTTGGTCTAGCCCCTTCATCTTTGACCAGCAAGAGTTTCTCAATGCAGCTTGCCGCATACGAGTGAACTACATTTGCCTCTGCATTAAGGAACCGGACTACATCTGGAAGCAATGCCAGCGCAATAGGTTTTGATATCTGGTTCCTAAACATGGTGAAGAACTTCAGAGCTCCTGCTTTCAACATAGGGAATGCATTGACATCCTGACTTTGCAACTCAGGAACAATTACAGAACTAAAAAAGCTCTCGACATTAACTAGATCAGTAGAAAATGAAGTCCCACCCGCTTTTCTGTTGGCAAGCGAAGTAACCAAATAGATAGCACAATCCTTTTGTTTCCAATTTGCAGCTGGATTCTCATTAAACAAACCCAAACAACTGTTGATCTGAAGAGAGACCTTCTCAGTGACCTTTTCCTTGTAATGCAAGGCAATTCCCTTGAGGAGTTCACAGGCAATCCTCCTCCTAGTATCAAGATCACTCCCTTCCATATCCCTCCTTATGAACTCCACATAATTCATCTCAAACAACTCCTCATCCTCATCCCTCAACATTACATTGGGTAAAACTATACTCTGACAAATCTGTTGCAAGATATCATCCCTTGCAAATAGAGTATGATGTACACTTGTGCTGACAGTTGTGAGGAACTTAATGGCAGTGACCGTTAGCTGTTCCCTGCTAGAAGAGGCAGATGCGACAAGAAGAAGACCCCAAACAGCCTCCACAAAACCACTCAAATACCCTTGGAACAACTCCTCCTCTTTCTCCATATAAAGACTGATATTCTCACAGACTGCAGAGCGCAGCGCATCAACAAGCGCCAGCCCATCACCGCTGCTATCCTCGAGAGCAGGATATGTAACGGTGAGATACTTCTTAAACTCAACCATCCACTCGCTCATGTGATCCTCAAAAAACTCGGGCAACTCTTGAAAATTCAGAGAGTAAAAAATCCTACAACACAACCTCTGAGATTCTATGTAGGGCCTGAGGGTAGCTGCATTGGCAGCACCCGAAGCCACGGCATGATCAATCAAACTAGCCGTCCTTTGAAACAAATCCAACAAGGGTTTGGCAAAATTATCAAGACAATACTTTAAATCCAGAAGCAAATCATTGGTTTTATACTGAAAACGAAACTTCTTAAACAAAGAATTCAGCGTAGCTAACACGCCATTAACAGAGACATAATCATTCGCCAGGCTTAGTTTATCAACACTCGCCACAAGCTCAGGTAATAGAGTAGGCCACGCTTTCGGAAAATCGTGCTTGCCGATAACGGCCAGAGCTTCACTGAGCTGGGATTGAATTCTAGGGGAAGAATTGACCATCAAAGAGACGACGAGGGTTTTAATCTGCTCCTTTTCGGGGTCGGGAATCGGGGTAAGGATTTGGGCGTCACCGTGGGAGGGAGGAGGCGGGGACCAACGGGACTTGAGGTGATTCTTAAAAGTGACAGCAGCGGCTTGGCGGATCTGGTCGTCGACGGAGGGCTCGGCGACGAGGCGGAGGACGGCGAGGCCGTAGTTGGGTTTGTCGGCGGCATCGGAGAGAGCGGACTCGGCACGGCGACGGGGTTCGGGGAGTGGGGAGAGAGTGTTAAGGAAGCATTCCGATAGGAATTGCAGGGTTTGTGGACTCCATTCCATGTTCAATTCTTGTACGTAAGCTAGGGTTTTACAGAGACTTTTGCGAATGCGTGCAACGGAAACCTATAAAAAAAAATCTAGGGTTTCTTTTTTAAGTCTAACACTATGTAATACTAAAACGAGTTTAAAAAGAGAGGGAGAAAGAGAGTTACCTCTGCACTGGAGAAGGGCCACTGTTCCACACACCACAACTAAGAGCAGCAGCACCAGTCTTTTTTTTTTTTTTAATTATTTATTAGACGTGAGTGAGAGAGAGTTTGAACGACAAAGGGAGGAGGGAGGGATTTTTGTTGAAATAAAAGAGACTAATTGTTGGGCCTGCGGAGAGCTTTCTTTTCTTTTATTGGTGAATGAAACTAATCGTCCGTCGATCTCGAACATATGGGTATGGGTTCAGAGAGACAGGTCCTGGTCCTGTATCATGGTTTGACCCGCTGAGCCTTTTTCCTTTTCATTTTTGGCCCATTTTCATTCACTGTTACAACAACTATTCTGTTCTCACTTGAGGTTACTTTTTTTCGTGTGCAGCAGCAGTCACAAAGACAAGACAATTTGGGCATCTGGAGCGGAACAGGAACAGGGTTTGCCTGTAAAGGCACCAACAAAAAAAAAATTCGATCAAAGTTGTTCATAATCAATTGAGCCTGTTTAGCAAACAAGTTTTGGGCCAAATTTGTTTTTTATTAAGTTTTTTAACAACTTTAACCACAATAATTTCAAGAAAAAACTTCTCAAAATTTTTAAACGATACACTTCAAAATATCCAAAAACTTATACACTTCAAAAAATTTTCCTACAACTTCTACAGTAAAATTTTGTAAGTTACAGTAAAATTTTGGACAGACACTTAAAAAATTTATTTGCCAAACGGGGACATTATTCTTGGGACAGGCTTCTGAAACTGAAAGGCCAGTGTTTGAGTTAGTCCAGACTGCACACTCTCGCCACCCAACCTCAAATTAATACTAGAACCACTTAAGCAACAAGTACGTAGGAAAACGCCCAGCCCAAAGACATTATTAAACCACTCTACTGTTAAGAGTGTTGGGGGTTCGAGTCGATTAAGACCCTTACCACTACTATTAAACCATCCTCCCGATCTCTATCCAACAAGATACCGGAACATCAAATATTGTGTCAGAAAAATCCATCTTACAATGAATTTCCAATTGTTAATTTCCTAGCAATTTGTTTATTCTAATTAATCTTCAAATAGTAGTAATCAAAAGGTGTACAATTCTCATATACCACTTCGAGTCTGGCAAAGCTGATTCCAGCTTATACTTATCATTAATTCAGGCTTAATTTTCTTCCTTTTCCATCCATCATCACAAATTCCTTCCGACGATTTCTAGTGAAGCTGGTCGGAACCTTATTGCTACTAGTTAGCAGATTCAGATTCAACTACTCAGAAGGAGGAGGAGGAGGATATTATATGTATTACATAGATATGGCTTTGAGAGAAAAAAAAAAACTACAAGAAGGCAATAATATTCATGTCACTTAAATATTGAAGAAGAGCAAGTAAATGCATCATCGAGTAGATAATAGATATATACAGTAGTAGTAGAAATGGAGCATTAGTTAATCACAATCTGAAGCTTTAATTGAATGAGGAAGTTAAAACTGTAACACCAAGTAATTAATACTAGTTGCAGGAGGAGTGTTGTATTAACTATTATGTACGGTCATACGGCCGCGGACGTACAACTAGTACATGCAATTACACAGTCCGTCGGGGGCTCGGTCATCTTCATCCAACTGGAATCATTCCATCGGCGACGTGGCAATATCGCCGGAAAACATCCCTGAACATGATGATAACGATGATGAAGCACTCCAGTAGCGTAACTCCCACACATAATCCCTCCTCACAGTTACGCTGGTACTGTTATCATTCTCCCCCGGCCAAGCTTCAATGAGCTCCGGCAGCTCTATGTCCCGCCAAAAATCATCACTCCCACTCCCATCGTCGCCGATATGAGCTGCAGTAGTAGTAGCGGTAGTGCTACTACTACCACACATAGTAGTAGTCTTTTTTCCTTCTGCCATCGCCACTCTTGCGGCCAATGAGGCTGCTGCCTGAATATCTCGAGCCGTGGTGGTTAATGGCCGCGGCAGCAGCTGGATGTCGTCGGGGAAATTCAGTTGGGCCTTGGGTCCTTTCAGACAATATGCGGCCACGTCGTATGCCCTTGCTGCCATCTCTGGGCTTGGGAAAGAACCCAGCCATATCCGTGATTTCTTTCGCGGTTCTCGAATTTCCGACACCCATTTGCCCCACCGCCGTTTGCGGACCCCTCGAAAGACCGGATGCCGTGTGCCCCCACTGGCAGCACTACTACTGCTGGTATCACTTCTTCTGCTGATGGCGGCTGTGGGGGTGGTGGCGGTGGTGGTTGAGCCGGAGGAAGAAGGGGCTAGGTCATCTTCATTAATGCATGGCGGCGCCGGTGGTTGCTGTAGGAGCATCTCCATTATTAACCAACAATTAAACCAAAGCTTAGCTAGCTGGGCATGCAACCAATACATAAAATCTATCGCGGCTCTGTATTTATGCTTGCAGTGTGTCTTACCATTCACCTTTTTCTTAAATCTGACAAAAACGCCCTTTTCCATTAATTATTCATTTATTTATTTTGCATGAGCTGGCACTCGTGCGTAAGACTAGGATTATCACTCACATCGTGTAAGTGTGAGAATGTAAAATTAGTCACTTGGGCATGGTACCAAGTTTTGAACAATTTACATGGTTCTATTTAACTATTTTTAAGTTTGAAAATGCCATATTGAGTTATCTTTATAATTCCAAAATAGGAATGGCAGCGAGTTGAATACCTTTAAAAATCTCTCTTATTAAATCCTAACTCGCATGTACATTGTATAAAGATAAATATGTGTGTCAACTGAATACAAACTAAGAGGATAAATAGCTATTATAGAGGTATTAATTCTTTGATACACGCACATATGAAACAAATTGTGTGTGTGCGCTCGCGCGGACATGTGTATGGAATATCGAGTATTGAGTATCCAATTTTTAGAAAATATCTTACCAAATTCTATCGGGTTATCCATCAGTAACTCCTTATTAATACGTCTAACGGATTACCCATCTATCGTCTAATTGAAACACCCACAAGGATAGAGTTTTACTCTACCCGTTGCCATACCTATGCCAAACAACGATAATTAACCATCTACGTGCTTCACCCTTTTTCTGAATTCATCAAGCATATTTTCCAACGTCTCCATTTAATTCTAAGTAGTGTCGTGAAATCCTGAAAGTATCTAGTGTGGAATTAATCAATGAATTGACAATAGGGTGAAAAGCGAGTAACCATTGGCACATAGACATATGTCACGTTCTTTATTGCTCTAGATTTCACAAAATCTGAATATAGAAGCTGATTATGAAGAATAATCCGAATCAGCAAAAAGTTACTCTTTGACTGATTATAGATTTTAACTTTTATGGTCATTTAAAAATTTATAATTAGAATACAAAACTGATTGAGAATATTAAAAAAAAAACTGATTATCCAAAATTAGAATATATAATCAGTCTAAAATAAATAATTGAAAACAAGCCTAAAGTTTAGATAATGAAAGTACAATTTTCCAACACTAACAGGTGTATATAATACAACACACTCCAAGGTACCAATCCTCAACTTATCATGTAACCAAATCAAAAAAAAAAAATCCTACAAGAAATTGACTGGGTTACCATGTAGTAGACGGCCGTCAAAATTTAGACGAGTGATGAAGGAGGATTTCCATTTCTTTTCTCTTTTTCTTTTTTTTTGTTTGCTTGTCCCCTTTTTTGGAACAAAGAGACTGAGAGAGCACGCATTAATTTTAAATCAAAATAAGAAGTAGGATAAAAAAAAAATAGAGAATAAATATCGTCATGTACATGTACGGCCCAGTGCCCGCAATGGTTCGAGTCCCATAGTTATCGTGTTCGGGAGATGGAGCCTCTCCTCCCAGGTCGGAGTGGGATTAGTCGGACCCCGCAAGGATTGACCCGGACACCCACTCCGTAAGCAAAAAAAAAAAAAAAAAAAATGTACGGCCTTTGTGATGGAAGGTCACAAGTCACCCAAAAATTTCTCACCAATTGTGACCATAATAATTAGTTCTTGTATGTATAGGTACCCGCGTGCTCGGATAGCGATTGATTATTAATTTTTGTTTTCTGGGAAATCGGCCTTCGTGCATTATCATGAGGGCTCTCAACGCTTAAAGCTTCTCGGGGTCCCTTGGGCCGTAAAGCTTCACATGTGTAGGCCTTACACGAGATATTAATGACCAGCTCCATTTTTTTTTTTCCTTCTTTCCTTTTTGTTTTTGTGTTTTTTGGTGGGATTGAATGATTGATTATATTGCGCACACCAACGTTTGCAGCTGTTAGGTGGTCCTATGTTTTCATGGCTTGCAAGTACTACTACTGCTATATATATATCTAGATTGAGCATGCAAAATCACTTGAAGAGATCTGATCTTCTTCAACGCCGCAATCGCACTGAGTTTTGAAAATCGAATTTATCCAAGTTTTGACTGCAAAAACTTTGTCTCTCAGGGTCCGTTTGTTTCGGGTGAAAATATTTTCCAGGAAAATATTTTCCTAATTTCCCGTGTTTGGTTGCACAAAAGTTACTGAAAACATTTTCCTATGTAAAATATTTTCACTCATCTTATGGAAAACAACTTCCCTTCCCAACTTCCTGAAGTTGTTTTCCGAAATGCATGCATCTTGCCTGTAGTATGTTCCAAACTTACTGAAATCATCTTGCAGTATGTTCTTTTTTTTTTTTAGTGTAAACAGGAAGACTCGAACCCAAGACCTCTTCCTTACACTCCCTCCCCCGTACCACCCAACCCTCCCCCTAGTATATTCAAAATAAAAAAAAAACCTCATCCTGCTCATCCTATGCTAGTAATTAATTATGTATAATAGGGACATTCTTTTCTAGAGAAACTTTCAGTAGTGAGAGTGCAAGATATATGTCACAATAAGCATTGCATGTGATTGATATTTGACACTAAATGGCCAGCAATTTATTTATTTGCTTAAGGAAATATTTTTATTCATATATACCTTTCTTCAAGATTTTTTAAAGTTAAACAATGAGATAAATTTTCTTATTTTGCATGGGAAGAAGTATGTAGTTATAATGTGTAGAAAGTAAAGATAGAGATAAAAGTGAAAATATTTCAAAAGTTAAACAAACATCAGAAAAATGAAGTAAGAAAATATTTTCAATAACCTAACCAAACACCTAAAAATGATAAAAGGGAAATGATTTTCATGGAAAATTACTTCAACGGAAAATATTTTCCCAAGGAAAACATTTTACTTCCAACCAAACAGACCCTCAATCCAAAAACTTTTCCTGAACAAGCAAAAAACGATTCTATTGTTACCAAATTTGTTCGAGAAACTCGTACCTTTTTATATATATATATATAGTAATCAACTAACTTTTCCACAACTATACTCCTTTTTGGCGCATTCTCATTTGCACCTTCAATTAGTTAGATTTGTTCCTAAAATTTTTCAAAGAGCTTTCTTAAAGTCAGTTTTAGAACAACTAGCTAGAAGTCCATCACCAACTTTAGCTAGCGTCGTTTCTTGAATAAAAAAAATGATTCCAATGGTAAAAGACTGAATGGAAATAAAGGCCCCGTTATGGGAACTGTGGTATGCATGGCATGGTCCAACGTGTCTTCTTCTGCAACTTTGCTCTGCATTATTTTTGGGTGGATTCTTCTGAGACTAGAATAGCAAAAAGAACATGGATGGATTGAAGAATTGAAGGAGGCAGCTCTTGACAATTAAGTTCTGTTTTATTCCTTGTACGAAAAGATTCTAATGCATTAACGCTGTTTGTCATAGCTGTTCACTACTCTAGCTTCTGTGAAAATTGTATACAACGAGCAGGTACGTACTTCCAATTCATGAGTTTGGGGCAGTAGTTAACGTTGAGATTATACTGCAGAGACGTGATGCAACATACGTTTATTATACGCATAAATTTTGTTCGTATATATCAGTTCAATGTGTGTTCATGAGTGTATATAAATTACGAAACAAATACACAATAATAAACTGTCAACCATAGCCATCCCCAATCCCAAAGCCCGAAACCCAACCCCCCCGCGGCCTCTTCTCTTGTCTTGTGGAGGCCGTGGAAGTATTGGTGGTGGCAAGAATTGCAGGAGAAAGGAGAGGACAGAAGGGAAGGCATGAGTTTATTGACTCCACTCGATCTATCCCTTTCAATTCAGAGTCGGTCCTCAACCCCAAATACGTGCCTAGCTACCACGTCGTCCATCGTTCTCTCCTGCACAGTAATTCTTTTAAGACCACATGTGCATTATCTTTATCAAGCACTTGCTGTGCTGCTGCAGTTTATAACTGCGTAGGCATAACATCATGTACTCGGACGGGACCTGCTTTCAGAAAACAAAATACTAATAAAATGACAAAATTAGGAGGTTAAGGGTTAGGAAGCAATTCTTGGGTTAATTATGATGAAGGTCCTTGAACATTTTGAAAATATCTGTTTGTTTCGATCATGCAGTGCTTAATGCTTAGCGTATATAATGGGAGCCATACTGTTACCAAATCGGCCGGCAGGCTGTTGGGACTGGAACTTTAATTCATACAGTACCATCTTTGTAAGTTTCAAACCTGATTCATACAGTGCAGCTAGTAGAGAATCTGGTGGCGGAAGAAGAATTTTGAGCCACAGCCAGATGCGATCGATCTTTTGTTAACAACCGCGGGGTTCCAGAGGGAGGGAGGGCCCACTGGTTTCGTTTCATAACATAAGCCAAGCTGTCGGGCTAGAAAATGACAAAATTGTTTTCCGCACATTTCCTAAAGAGTTGCTGAGCAAGTTTTGGCCCACTCACTAATTTAATGCAAGCCTTGTTCATCTACAACATTCAAGAGCGGGCCTTCCTTGTACCCTTTCACTTTAGCCCATCAAAGTCCCAAATCTTTAGTACTACTGCTGAATGATTTTTTTCTTTGTTTTTGTTTTTAATTCTTAATTTTCAATTTTCTTGCAAGCAACACTATATATAGTTACCTGATTTTTGCCAGGCCTGATTAGTAATTTCCCTTCAGGCTTCGACCACAACAAAAGTTTCCGTCCTGAATGATGAATATCAAACCAACTTTCATTGCTCGTAGTGAAAGAGCAAAATGGGAGAGAAAAATGATACCTACAACTTACAGCGATCCAAAACAGTACAACTTATCGGAAGAATTCGCTAAACTTTTTTTCTCTTTTTTATATAAAAAAAAATGGTTGCGCGCATGCGAATTCCTTGGAAGAATTTGCTAAATGTTTATACATTTTATTTGAAGATAAATTAGGATGACTCAGGCACCTAACTACCTGCAATGAATTCACGAGTCAATTTTTTCATCAACCAAAAGAAAAAGAGCGCAGACACGTACAGTATTGACTCCATGCTCTCTAGAATTACTGTTC